CTTCTGGGTAAATTCTCACCGAATCCAAGATGATTTAGGACATAAAACAAACAACAGAAGGGGAGCTGAGGGGAATCATCTCGTAAAAAGCCTAAAAGAACAATGAGAACTTACCTAGATAGAACTCTGCAATCTTTCACCCCTCTGCAAATGTCACAACTGACTCCACACAGCACTCCATGCACTCAGAAGGACAACGAGCTCCAGCTCCACGCTCCTTTATGTGTGTGGAGCAACGAGGTTTGTTTAATGCGAGGGTAAGTGCTTTTTACCGGGCTAAAAACCACCAGGCAAACAGAGGGAACAGGTTAGACCGTAACCAGAATGAATACCAAGCAGCACGGTACGTGTTTGGGTCGAAATGTCGCCCCGTGCTCCTCCCTCCACCTGACACAAACAAATAAGGCCGTGGACAAGCACTGCCAGCCCCGCTGGGCCGAGGTTTAGTGCTCGTCAGCACCTTCTGTGTCGCCGGTGACAGCGCAGAGGCGTCTTGGGCAGAGCTGCAACCTCTGAGGGCAGAATTTATGCTGCTTTTATTCATCTCCCTTCAGAGGTAAACTGAGGGCTTGTCCCAAGGTGAGGGTTGCAGGATTAGGTCCACGGGAGGAACACGTGAAGGAGCTCCCAAAGCAAGGTGCCACGTCAGGAGGGTGCACTGGGGTGAGTGGGAGCACGAGAGGCTCCCGAAGCAACCAGAGAGGGTGGGAGAGGAGCAAGTGCTACTTAAGCAAACCAAGAAACTGGCACTGAGTGACACAAGCACTACCACCTTCTGAAGCACGGACAAACACACAGAGACACAGCAGACACACATCTCTGAGGAAGGAGAAGAAGAAAAGGGATGGCAGAAGACAGTGATGCCTCCAGGAAGGGTTTCTCAGCGTAAATTGCCTGGCTATGACCACCAGCCTATGGCACCAGCTGCCAGCTTGCAGACGCACACGCTGCACCTTCCAAACCAAGAATCCCAACCATCCCAGTCTGCCCACACCAGACACCTCTAACTTTGCTCCCAATTTGTCCCATGTTTTGCACTATCAGCTTAGTCTCTTCATCTACCCCAGGCAGACAGAGCTGCAGATGCTGCTGTGCAGTAGCTTGGCAGGGGGCAGAGCCTGCACATAACCCAGGTTTAATTCCACCCAAGGGAGCTCGTACACCACTCTGCAGAGCAGCACGTGCCAGCCTTGTAGCATCCAAGGAGTTGCTACTGGCAGGAGTCTTGCTAAAGACCCACAAACATGAGATGTGCAGCACCACACAGCTATAAACCCACTGCATCACAAACTGGCCATGGCTTCAAGCACACCCAGTGTCTCAACAGTGTGTGTGGAAGACAGGCACGAGAACTGTGCTGCTAGCTGTAAGATCATCCTCTTTGTTGCTCTGGCTGAGTCAGGTCCAGCATCAGGAACCTGGCAGCTGCTGCTCAGGAAGTCTGCTCCGTGCTGCCCACTACCTCTGCTCAGATCCCCACCCAGGGCTTCCAACCAGATCACCAAGCCACACTAAAAATAGCCAGCTCACAAAACCAGCTCTCGGCTCTCGCCACTCCACCCTCAAAGTACAGATACTAACTATACTGCAAACAAAGGAGAATTCACTCCTCCATCTATTTATAAGCTGCTTATTCACAGCTTGCAAGCACAGATTCTTTTCAGATGAGGAGCTTGGGGGAAGAGGGTATGCTTTTTCTGGTTCCATGTGCACAGAGCCAAGCACTCAACGTGGTCATTCCTTCACCATCTGAGGTTTTTCTCTTTCTTTCAGCTCTCACCTCCAGCCTTGGGCATATCTTGTCCATCACCACGCAGAGGACGATGCAATCCCACTCCCCACGCCACAGTGAGAACGTGGGTTTGCTGGGAGAGCCAGGCATGTGGCAGGTGTGTCCTGGTTTAACCTGCACAAACCATCCTGGCATTAATATAAAATGTTTCTCCCTTCCTTACTCCGCCTGTGACTCACAGCGTTATCTGCAGGACGCAAAGCACCACCGGACACTTCGGCTGGGCACACATTCCCAGCTCCTGGCTATGCTGGAAGAGCAGCAATAATAAGAACAACAGTGGAAAATGCCTGGCTAAAGAGCAGGTCAGAAGTCTCCTTGCCTTGCCACCCAGCCCCATGTGGCTGCCTCGCTTTAGCAAGAGTTCCCACGGCTGCTGCCTGGCTTCTGGCAGCTTCTCTGATACCTCCATCCTAACACAAGCCTCCTAAATCCACCACAAAAGCAGCAATGCATTTAGTCCACCTCCCACAGCTGGCTCAGTGAGTTGCCTGCAAGCTACAGGTTAGTTGATCACTACACTAGATAAGCCAGAAGCCAAAACTACACCTGCTACCCAACTCTGTGTTCCTTATTAAAAAAACCTTGGTAATAAAAAATTTCCTGTTTCAAAGTGCAAAAAGAAGTATTAATAGCATTGAAGGGATGGAGGTCTCCATGGCACTTGTCCACACTGACCAACAGATCTTTTACGCTGGTACTTGGTGGAGAAAGAAGCATGAAGACTTGCACTGTGAGCTGAGCAAGAGCTGATGTACCTGTCAAAGCCACTGCTGTGGTGCTACAATTTTTACCTTCAGCTCTCCACTTTTGGATGGCCTCTTTTAATTAACTGGAGGCAAGAGTCCAGAAAATTGCTCTTAAAATTGTAATTCTTGCCCATTCGGACAGTTACCTGTTCACAGCTGGCCTCAGCTTAGGACTGAGAAGTGCTGGCAGTCACAACTCCCTGTTTTATGAGACTTCTGCACCACAGGAGAGAATAAAGAGCAATGGGACACGTGATAGAAAGCAGTGCCAAAAGGTGGCTCAGAAAAGTAAAGCCATTTGACTTGCTTTTGTAAATAATTTGATTTCAAGTATTGGGAGAGTGGGTGTGGAATTAAGCTTTAAGAACTGATCTAGATTTTACAATCCAAAGTCCAGGACAGCAGTACCACAGGCAGTGCTGAGTGCACACCCAAGGTCCTGTTCCATTTTCACACATCACCAGTTAGAAATTCAACACTGGACCCACAAACAGCAGCACCTTCTCCCTGTCAGCTTAGTAGGCCAACCACAGTATTTTGTCCCTACCCTGCTTTGATCATATCTGTTACAGAAGCCTGTGAAAATCATAACCAAAAGGAGCCTTTACAGGGTTAGGAGAGCTCAGAACCTTTGGTATCTGCATGCCAGATTGGAAAGAAGGAGTAAAAGTAGAGCCATGGAAGACTCAAAACCAACAGTGCCTTATACAGAGTCCTCTAGCCAAGTGATAGAGCTTTTTTCCCCATCTGAGAGGATCCTGGAACAGGGAAGAGTGGATTTATTTAGTCCTCTGCCCCGAGTTAGATCAAAAGCAGGCATTTCCTCAATAAAGATACTGCATGGATTTTAATTTCTACAACTACTGCACAGGCTAGAAGAGGGATAAGTTTCTCCTGCTCTGTTCATTTATGCTCCTCAGGCTGGGGACAGACACACGTATTTGAGCCAGGGCCTGCAGTCCCCTCTCATACTGGCAGGCAATGAATATATTTTGAATGAAGCAGAGAACGTGCTACACAGCCTGGGCATGCACTCAAAACACTGTGCAATCAAAGAATTCTGTGTGTATCCCCCACCCCTGCCCTTGCTAAGGTAATCAAAGCAGTAAATTATCCTTAGGGGCTCTGTCAGATCAGGTTTCAAAGTTGATCATTTCCCTGCACAAGAACATAGGCTTAGCTTAAAACCAAAACAGAACATGAAACCCATGCATGTTCTCCCTAGTCTCCTAGGACTCTAAAGTTGCTGTGTGTTGCTTAAAATAAAATAAATAAAAAACCCTAGACAGAACACAAAAACTCTCATTATTGTGCTTCTCATGTCATGTGGGAATGAAAAGACTGTACTGTACCAATTCAGTCCAAAATTGCATCAAGATTACTTCACCATTTCAGCAAGACAACTGTCTGCACAGCCTGCCAGAGCTGCTGACAGCAGTCACAGCAAGCAGGGAACAGAAACAGTTCCACAGCCTGTCCCCACACTCCCCTCTCAGCACCAAAATGTCAACAAATCCCTTCTCCCAGTGACGGGCAGCAACTTGCACTGTCACCCGCTGAATTTTCAGAGAGATGTTTTGCTTTTCCCAGTGTTTGGGTGATACACTCCATAACTATTCTGTTATCTCCTCTCCATTCCCTCCCTTCAAACCTCCCAGCTTGTGATGGCAACAGGGAGTTGGAGCAGAGCGAGGCTGCGGATGCACGAGCAGTTCCACACCACCCCGCCATCCGCTGCGCCCTCACCTGCACCCACACGCCAGGGCTTATCTCACACTGGGGCTGGAAGCTCCTGGGAGCAAAGGCTGCCTTTCTACCTTGTTGTTTGCACAGCACATAGCACAGAGGCCTTCACAGGCCGATAGGCTTCAGGTGTTTCAGCAGCACAAACAGGAGTTGTGCAATGCCCCGGGGATGTCGAACAGCTGGGCTCTCTCAGGCCCTGCTTCTCATACCAACCCTGCAAATGGGCAGCCAGTCTTTGTTTGTGCAAAGCAGTACCAGTGTGTGAGGAGATCAGAGCCTGCTGCAGCCAGAAAGCATTCCTCACAGCTAAGGTCCTTGGAAATCCCCCTTGCATAAGGAGTGCCTTGGGAAATCACACAGCGATAATGCCCTGGACCCAAACATTCATCGCTGGCATCATCAATTAAGGGTTGTGTTTTGGAGGTGCACAAAATATCCAGCTCTCTCTCCACTACACAAGATAAGTCTAACTTGGCTTGGAAAAGGAAGTTTAAACACCAAAGTGAATCCACCCAGACTAGTTTTTGGGCCTGGGATGAAAGAGTCAGGATAAAAAGTAAACCTCCATTTTTCACCTTTGCTGTTTTCAACGTAATTCCTCACTACACAAAGCTGCTCTCCAACCTCCAGCATTGAAGGAGCATCTCGGGGAGATTCACAGTGCCTGAGTTTTGCTCAGTTCCATCTCCTCTTCTCCCACTCTGGAGGCTCACCTGTAGTCATGGGTGAGGGTGACACAAGACTCCTCCTTCCTCAGCCTGGCCAGGAGCGCTCCACCCTCCAGCTGCAGCCTGACCAGCCGCGTGTCTTCCAGAACGTTCTTCATCAACTGCCTGTAGGTCCTCAGCAGCACAGCTGCATCCTGCAGGGATCACAAGAGTGAGATGAGCAGTGACTGCAACCCACAGGCAATGAGGGAACAGGCAAAAACCAGCACCCACCCCAAAACACACCCAAACCACATCTCACCTGGGCCCACCCTGGGAAAGGGGGGGGCTGCTTCCCACAGCTGCTTCTCTCAAGCCTGCCAAGTCCAAAGTGATAAAGCAGCACTCCTTACACTTCCCCTGCTTTCCCCACCAGGCTAAAATTGTGACCCAATTCCCATCATTGTTGTTCCATTCATTTGCTGGGCACTGAAGCCTCATCTTCCACTCACAGCTAGCTCCTACTGTTCTGAGAGCCCAGACCTGCTTGGCTTCAAGCCTTGGGATGAGATGGATGTCCTGTGGTACCTTCCCTCGATTTACTGCTGGGACCCTCAGCAGTGTCCTACCAGGTCAGGGGTACAGCAACTTCTCAAGAGGGGGAATTCAGCTGGAACCACACCACAACTGTGCTGTCACCTGACTTTACTCCAGGCCATTGGAGCTGACCTGGTGTGGCACAGCCCGAGGCAGCTGCTCTGTCCTGGACACACCAAAGCTCGTAGGAGCCACAGAAAATGCACTCCAGTGCTGCAGCCAGCACCCATCAGCAACAAGCCCAGCTGGAGAGATCTCCTGGGTGACCCTGAGGGATCAGTGAGCTTCCAGACCCACTGAAGCTTCTACCACTTCATTTGGATCAGCTTCTACTAGTTCTGCTGTCCTACCAGCTCCCCAGTGACACGCAGCACTCGGAATACTCTGCTACTACAGCTTGCAAATTCAAAGCTGCAGCTTTTCTGAGCTATCCTGCTCTCTCCTCTCTCAGGCCCCACCTCTGCTGACAGGTGAGGGACAGGCTCACCTCAGCTTTTCCTGGTAATTTTCCAGATTCCACTTTATGGATAGCTCCCTGAAGGAAGGCACAGGCACCTTGGCATCCTTGTAGCAAGTGTTCCAGCTTCTACGAGAAGAAAGGACCGAGGCAGAGATTATCGTCTCAGAGCTGACAGGAGAGGTGTGTCTTGAGCTTGCAGAAGGTTAAAAGTACAAAACCCAAGAGAGAATCAAACACATTAACCCAAGGGCTCAATTAGACCATCTGGTGAGGCTCAACCAGCAGAGAGAGGCCCATCACACTCCCCCAAGGCCTCTGTGCAGACCTTATAAACTTGCATACTCGTGCTTGCATGGGCCATGCTCTACAGAAATCAGTCCACTTGAGTCCCACATTATTCTGCTGTTAGCATTTCTTGTCACTTCCCATGAAGATGAATCACCATGCATGAATTTCGGAGAAACAAAACATAAAAAAAAAACAAGTACTTGGAATTTTTCTACTTTAAATCATTTCTCTTTGTGTTACAAGTAGTGTGAATTAAAGAACAGGAAACTGGAAAGCTTCCAAAATTAAGCACCTTAAGCTATGGGCAAATCTGAGATCCTTCCTTTCTTCAGAGTGGGGGGAAGGGGAGAGAAAAACAAACAAACAAAAAAAGACCCAACTTTCCATAAGAGTTCCTGAGCCACTGCTTTTTAGAAAAGTCAGAGATATGAAGCCTAAGTATTGTCAGATGCCACCCTCCAGTCACTGAAATCAGAGAAGGGAGAAACAGCTATTCCAAAATAACTCAAAACAAAACAAAAAAGCAGCTGTTTGAATCTGTACTGAACCCAACTCCCTCCTCCCCGGAGTGCTGGAACCGCCCCAGCAGTGACAGATTAGCAGGCAGGATGCAGGTGAGATCACTGGGACAGGAAATAAATGCCATTTGCCACATAGCTGCAGAGCTAAAGGGGCTGAGCACGTGGGTCATTATCACACACAGTGCAGACAGGCAATCCATGCAAACCAGCTCCCTTTGGGAACATTTTACACGTTCCGATCCACGACACAAGCAAGGAGCAGTCTGACACCAAGCTCCTTCCCTCAAAAATTACCCTTCTGCACACACAGAGCACCTCGGCTCTTTAGGTATTCCCAACTCTGTCCAGAAAACTAACCCATAATCCTTGCAAAGTTCCTCTGCTTCCTCACTGCCAAATAAACTTTGGCATCTCAAATTCAACCCCAGGTACCAAGATCAGGCATCAGCATGGGTCCATCCTAGTATTTTTACATGAAAATTTTGAAAACTGGGTTCTAAAATAAGTTGGAAAAGGTAAATTAACACTGCCACATGCCAAGTCTAACTGCTGAAGCACACAGTGGTTTCATCAGTGACATCTTAATCTGTTTGTGTACTCTGCCATGCAGCACTCTGGGCAGCGAGGTCGGAGCCAAAAGACCACTGGATCCCCTGGAAGCTGAGGTGACAATCCTGTCATCCCCCAGGGTGAGCAAGTCACACTCACCGTGAAGACAGCCAACTTGTGTGCAGATTCACAGAGATTAAATCCTGTCTAGTCTCAGCATGCCAAATAACTCATAACTCAGTACAGTTTTTAAAGATTCAAACAGCACATGGGTCCACAGCACTCAGGCTCCCTCCACAGCACAGGCACACACAGAGCTGGGCACTGGTGCCACAGATGCAGATTTCTGGCAGTCTGCACACACCCTGCTGCACGAGGTAAAAAGTATTCCTAGAGGAAGAATTCTGAACTGATTATCAGGAGCTTCTAAGTCTCACTCCTGCAAGGACTGCAGTTTTCCTAGGGGGCTGTTAGCATGACCTGGGGAACTTGCTCCAAAACCAAAAAGATGTAACAAAACAGGGCTCCACTTCAGATTTGACCATATCTTGAAGGGAAGGAAGAATTAATGCAGTTCAAGCAGATGAGGTAAAAACTAAAATTTTACTTCCTGCAGTCACGCCAATCAGTTGATGAAGACAGTATTAGCATTCTTTTGATAACAGAAATTCATTTGCACACATAACCACCACAGGAACATTGTCTTTTAATGCTGTAGGTTCAGCTGCTGACAGCTCCTCTTGCTTGCACTCCGTTCCTGTGCCAAAGCACTCCCCACATCCCACTCACCATGCGGAAGCTCAGCCAGTCCCGGTGGCAGTAGGGGAAGGTCCCATCCAGTTCCAGAGGCAGCTGTGAGCTGTCTATGTGCTTATGGAGGGATTTCATGGAGGTGAGGAGTTCAAACTGCACAGGAATAGAAGGAAAAAAATTTTAAAAAGCAGGCCTGCCTTAAGAGTGTGAGTATCGGAGGAGGAGGGGAAGGTTAACAAAAGACAGAATCCTTCATTTCTTTCTCTGTCTTGCACAGAAACACGACACACAGTGTACATCTGCAATATCACTACAACATGAAGGAGTAAAAAAAAAATCAATTAAGTCTTAGAGCAGCTTGTTGAACAGCTCAGTGGGCGAACCCTGAAGGAATGCAGGCCACAACACGCTGCTTCACCAGGCAGAACATCTGTGATGGCAGTCTGGCAGCAGCCAGCCTTCTCCAGAGCCAGCACCTCCCAGTGGAAGCACAGCAACTCCTTCAGATGTTCCCACAACGTGCTGCGATTTGCATTTGTTTGGAGAGTCTGGGAGGTTAAATCCAGCCCCCAGTTTCCCCATCTCACTTCCTGGAGAAACAGTCTAACAGAGCAGCCTCTGCCCTGCCCTCAACTCTCCACTCATCGAAGCAGCTACTTGCTACAGCAGTTTCATGGATCTTGACACAGATAACTCCCCTTCTGCGAGTCTGTAGGACCTCAGAGGACTTTTATACTCACCAGAGCAACAAGCGCTCCTGCAGGTACATGGAAGCCAGCCCAGACACAAACTCAGGTGCAGACACTGAAATCCCCCACACCCGCTGGGAAGTTTCCACCTCCTTACAAAATAGCGATGATGCTTCCAATTCCTCCTGCATACCCTTGTCTTTATGAGCCTTTCCTCTGTCCCCTCCCACACTCTCTGTATTTGTTCTGTGTGTTTAATGCCTTCTGTAGCTCTCCCTGCAGCCTCCATTCTGACTTCACATTCTTCCACAAGGGGCAGTGAGGAAATGGACTGATGGTATTTGTTATTCTTTAGCCTTCTGGGACACCACACCACACACACAGCGAACCTGACGCCTATCACAACCTCTTCATCCACAGGAGCCAAAAGGGACGTGCTGGCCTGCTCTGAAACCTTCAGGGTTTCAACAGGCACAGAATTTCAGTCCAGTCTTGTCCCTTGCAACAGTTTTAAGAGCAGAGGGAGGAACCAAGATGCAGTCTGGTATCTATTCACTCAGACTGACACAATTACGGTGCAAATGTCACTGAGGGACTCGGCAAACAACAGAGCATGACGGAGATCTGCTCAGCCCCCATAAACACCACAGCCATCAGACACAGAGAACAGCTACAGAGATTTCATGTGAGAATAAACATGATACCAACACGTTGTTTGGAGAGTTAAGAAAAGGGTATCAAGGGCTGTCCAGCAAACCCCCAGGTTTTACCTGTCCTGCTGGTGGCTTCTCCATCCGAAAAGTCAGATCTCTTTCAACCAGAAGCAGTACCCCATGAATGCAAGGGGGATCCATGTCCTACAACAGAGCAGAGCACAAATCCATCACTGATCTGTCTGGGATGTTAAGGAGGATGCACCATACCAGGTTCCCACACAAGATTGCAATTTATCCTTCAAAGGCATCTACGAAGCCCAGAAGGCAGTCACCAGGAATTAGGGACAGCCAGTCCACAGAGCACCGAGGTGATGTCCTTAAGGTAATTTGTTTCTGATCAACTAGTCCTGCAGTATTTAAGGAAGCAATGGAAGAGGTCAGGTCTTGGCTGCACTAAAAAAACTCTGCCTTCTACACAGGGAAGTGTGTCAGGGTTAAAATAAACAAAACAGGAAAAAAAAAAAAACAAAACCAAAAACCGTGTTCAGTGTCCAAGTTTTTTCTTGGTAACTTTCCTGGTCACCTCACCTAACTGAAAGGAAGTTGTGTTGTGTTTTTTTTTTAAACCTCACAGTGCCAAAGAGGCAAAGAGGTCGCCTTGTCTCTACTTACTGCCAATTTACAATTAAGTACTTGCATCCTGTTTCTACTGTTAAATAGACAGAAATCCCAAATCCAAGGATGTCTGGCAGCTGTAGTTCAAACTCAGAGATCCAGGAGCAGCCCTGCAATTATAGAAACACTCTACAGGGAGGTAAAACAGGCACAGGGAGGGACAGCAGGAAGAGGGAAAGATCCAGACCATGGATCCTCACTCAATATGTGATGCCTGGACCAGGAAAGCAAAGGGAAGAGCCACTGAAGCTGTCACGCCACGTGGTTAAACAAGAGCCATCCCATTTGGATGTCTCCTACACGGTCTTCGTGTCTGCAAGGATCTCAGGGCCCTGAATCTTTGTCAAGCAACAAATCCTTTGTGGTACCGCCCAAGCTGCAAGGAAACTGCCACAGAGCAGCCCAGGACAGCAAAGGAAACTCGTTTAAATAAACAGCTCCAACCCTGTGGAGGCTCAAATATCTGCCAGGAACAGCAGAGCCAGAGTAGAGAGACAAGTGGACCAGCAGACACTGAGCCACCTAACACGACACTGGGCCCTGTTCAGCAATGGAGATACAATGACAACTCAAGGAGCCCCAGTTCTGCAAGTGAAAACAGCAGCAGAGATTCCAGAACGGAGGAAAAAGGCCTTTCCTTCATCCAGTCCTAACTGGATGATCCTTTCAAACAGGCAGGAAAAAAATCCCAGCTGAAACATCTTCCAAAACTGTGAGAGGCTTCTAATTCTTCCCAAATCCCTTTCTGCAAAGGTACTTATTCACACTTTCCCTGTTATCAAAAGGCCAGAAAGAATTTATTGCATAATTAGGCTGCATTAGGTAAGCACTGAAGGTCATCTGAAGAGAGGATGGGGAGATATCACAGCTGTATCAGCAGCTCTGAATTTATCTGCTAGAAGGTACTGAGGGACAAAGACTAGACACAGCTTCAAGACAGATGATGGTGCTAAACAAATTTATTCTTACACAATCCCTCTTCTACTCCAACAGTCATGAGATGAGGGATAAAGGTAGAGATGGTGCAACAAGAGGTTACCAAAACAGCCAAAACACTCGCTTGTTTGTTTGTTCTGAAACAGAAACTGAAAATAGAAACTGAAAAACCATTCATAAATAAAGCTGTCAGGGGAGAAGTTCACGGTTTTCCAAGCCAAGGAGAAGCTGCATTTCCAAAGAAATTAAGTATTTTTCACCATATTTTTTTAATTTAAGCAGCTGAGAGAAGCTGAACAGCACTGAGGGAGCAATCCAAAGACTGAAACAGCTACGGGAGCCACAGATACCTGCTCATGTTCCACTGTCCATGCCCTGCCTGCTCCCTGAGCAAGGGATCAGCCCAGCACTCCTGAGCTGCAAAGCTCCTCTGGACAGGCCCCCCAGCACTGAGCTTGCTGGTGACAATGATGTGTGACCAAACATCACAGCATTCACCTCTGCAAAATTCCTCGCTCCAAAGCATCAGGACAGAGTCTCCCACAGGAACAAGAGTGATCTATTCTTGCAGCATGGCCACACTTAGCATTTCCCTTCACCTCCATACAGAGCTGCCAGAGTTCCTCCAGCTTCTTCCTGAGTTAGCTCTGCAGCAGCTCTTTATTCAGCCCCTGCTCCCACTGCTGTCTCTGGGACAGAAAGATTTCCCAGCTACTCAGTACTCTGATAAGGAAGAGGGGGGAAAAAAGTCTTGCAGAATGTAACTACAAGGCAGAGAGGACAAGCTTCCACCAGTTTACCAGGTGGGTCCAGGCAGAGCAATGGGCACACTCCGTAGTACTGTAGGGAAAACTAACCTGAAAGCACCAAAAATTGTCTATTAGCACTTGAATTCCGGTCGTGCATTCATTCTGGAGAGATGGAAAAGTGGAGGAAGGATTTTCTCAGACTGACAAATCCTGACCCAGGAACCTTTGCTCCCCAGGATCAGTCTGCACTCCCCAGGAGTCTCTCTAGGTTTAACAGGTCAGAGCATTGCAGCAGGAGAGGACTCTGCATTAGGGCATCTGACCTGTGCTTACCCACTGGGAAGCAGTGCTTCCCACTGCTGGGTCAGGAGGAAAACAACCCTTCATAATTTACCAGCATTGAACAGATTCTACCACGTTACCAAAGCAGGCTTCACAAAAACCATGTAAGTCAAATCCTGTTTCAGTAGAGTGCAGGACAGCAGAAAAATGAGCTCCAGACAGTCTGCCAGAGGTCAGAGACGCTGAGATGTGTCAGGGATTTCAGGAAAGACCTCAAGGAAATGACCTGCTCTGTGACCTCAGAAGCATAACTTACAGTCTGTGGTTCTGCAGCCACTGCTGCACTCTGGAACGTGTAGCCTGCCTCACTGCAGCTACACCCAGTGTCCTATCCTTGTTCCAGATTAGAGGAGAATATTGCCATGGGATCACGGAGCAAATGCTCAGCATCTCCAAAAGGCTCAGGGGAGCCAGGGATTACCAGATAATAAGTTACCCAAAGTGGACTCCTTTAAGGAGTCTTCAGAAGAGTCAGTGTAAGATTCAAAAAACCGTAAGCAATCAGCCTCCATCAGTCACTGTTACTGAAGCACACACTCAGGTCCAGCAATCTGTCTTGCAGCACATTAATCTCTGTTAACTACCTGCTGCACCACCCTGATAAAGACGTGCTCAGAGCCAAACAGCCATCACAGTAGGGACTGCAAAAAGCTTCCCCTCTCCCTCATTTTAGGTGGGAAACTTCAGGTTAAAATGGCATTATTACCATGCTTGAATGAGAGTGGGGACAGGCAGAACACGTTGCTGATGTCCAAATCATCCCACTACGACCACCATGCAATTTCCATGGGCAGTGAAACCCTCAAAAGCTTTAGCAAGCCCACTGCCACGTGGGCACAGCATGAAAGAGAACATCCTTGTTTTGCTTGTTACCTCTGCAGAACTGAGCAGGGCACCAGATTACTCCTTCACCACAGAGAATGAGGACGCTGATAGAGCTCACAGCTCCACCCAGCCCAGGAAGCAGGAGGACAGACCTCTGACTCAGACCCAACTCTCAGATGTGGCGCTGAAGCACATAAACCACAGACATTCAGCTTCATTAAAACATTGCCCTGTTCCAGTTTGCAGAGTTTGAGTCCTAAGAGACCTAAGCTCTGATTTAAGAGGAACACCTGCTTAAACAAGATTAGTCATCACTACAACCCAGCAGCTCCCTGGCTTTCTAACAGAGCAGGCAGTTTCTATCTGCGAGCGGGGACAACACAACCCCCTGGCTTTTCCAAGTGACTGATATGAAAGCCTTTGACCTGAAGCAATATAGAGTTACAGCACGTCCGATTCCAATCATTCACTGACAGCTACATCAACAGCTGCATGTGCTTCTCCACCTGGTATGGCAAGCAGTGTCCCTCCCTTCCCAAGGCAGCAGGCAGAGGTTTCTCTTCCTCCCTTCTTCGTGGCAGGCAAAAATCCCTGCACATTTCACGCAGCCCCTCAGTGCAGGGGACATCTCCAAGCAGGACAATTCATGACAAATTTAGACTTGGTTACAGGCTGTTCTCAGCACCGAGATGAAAGCAGCTTTGCAGGGATGGGGAGGGGTGTTGTCCCCTAACTCAGATTGCTTGGGGTTTTTTCGCTTTGTCTGCAGTCTGGTAAGGCCAGGTCATCCTCCTAGAGCAGGGCTGGGCACGGAACTCCAGCTCCCAAAGCCAACAGAGAGAGCCAGGAGCCAGATGGAGACAAAAGCAGCAGATGGAGATGTACCACCCAAGCACAACAGCGAGCCAGCCAGTGCTGCTGTGCCCAAGCTCAAGGCTCACCTGCAATATGCTGAAGGCCTTGAAGAGAGCAGGAACAGGGGAACAGCGACGAGCATCCACAAGAACAGTCAGACCCAAAGCCTGGCATTCTGGTCTGCAAGGACAAGGATAAAAAGGTCACCTTTGTCACCAAGGACAATCAACAGGACTACAGAAACAGAACACACAGTCATGGCAGGGTGAAAAAAACCCAGTCCATTATGGCTTTGTAAGGACAGGGAACTAACTGGCCACCTTCTCCTAACCAGTATATATATATGGAAACCACCACTGGATTGCTCAGGTTTAACCTCTGCTGCAGGATTCTGTGGTTTCCACCCAACTTCCCATTTCTCCAATTCCTAGAATACATGTCACTGATAGCAAAGGTTTCCATACCCACTCTGGATAATCCACACAGGAAAACCAGTCCTTCCCAATTGTGTTCAGGGACAAGCTTAGGTTTAGCCTCGCTGCTTCACAAGAGCAGCCAGTCTGGAACCAACCCAAAGCCCGTCTTGCCCAGAATCAGAACTGAAGGGAGAAGCATAAGAAACAAAAGCAGGAGCAGCAGAAGCTTTCTCGTGGGTTAAGCCTCCTCCCTTTACCAACTGTTTAAAGCCTTCCCAAAAAAATCACTATCAGAGAGTTTGCTTTACCTCTGTCTAAAAAGGAAACAAGGTGATGAGCAGGGGAGGAATAGTCTGTCATCCTGAAAGGGAGAGAGGCTGCAGCAAACCCCAGCCTGCAGACTCCAAAATAAATTTTCAGACAGACATCAAGGCAGATTTTCTCAACCCTTGCAGATCCTCCCTCCCTCTCAGCTTGGAGGCCTGGCCCTAAAATTTCATGTCACAACACTACCACGGAGCTGCTGCATGACTGCCCCATCACAGCTCCCAAATCCCACTTTCTGAGCTAATGAGGGATAGCAAGAATGGCTTGGATTCACATGGCAACACGTGAAAACATTCTGTACACAACCAATTCTATCACACCAGGTGCACAAGGCATATACAGAATAGGCAGAGTGCTTGCTGAACACAAGCCTGGTCACCCTAGCAGGAGATCCCCACCTTGTTTTGGGGACTGTCTGGAGCAGGTTCTTAGGCCAGTAAAGTCACAGAATCACAGAATATTCTGAAGGGACACATAAGGATCATCGAGTCCAGCTCCTGGAATGGCCCATAAAGGAACCAAACCCACAACCCTGGTGTTATCAGCACCGTGCTCCAACCAAACTAATCTCTGGTCAACCCCTCCCACTCGCTGCGTCGATTCCCACCTGCCCAAAAGGCAAATCAGAGAGGGCAGCAGAGTCCACCCCATCCCCACAAACCTGGGGATGCTGTGCAGGTAGAGGAGCAGCCGCACGAGCTCGGTGGTGTTGCAGTGGGGGTTCAGCCAGGCCGTGTTCCTTGTCGTTATTATGGCCACGGCACGCCCCGATTTATCTCTCGTACCTGTAACAAGAGGGGAAGGGGGGGAAAGTCACACAAGGAATTCAACAGAGCCTGGCTCCAGTTGTGTATTCTCCTACTAGCACCCCATCACCTTCCTGGAAATCCTCCACAGAACTCATTATAGTGTACGTTGCAGATGGCAGGAGGCTATAAACACACTTCCAAAGTACCCAACTGCTGCCCCAGAGCGAAGTAGCTGAGCTCTGCTTGCCTTCGTCTCATGGCAGCATTAAATTTGGACTGCTCTCTTCTACCCAAACACACCTTCTTCATCAACATGGCCCAAGTCAGCCAATGATAACCCAACCTCGTGAGAAAAGCAAGAACCTCACGAACTCAGGACGAAAGGATCTCACCTTCCCATCGCTGTCAGATGAGAGAGCAGGTCAGCAGAACATGCACTGCATGACCAGACTGGGCACACAGGCTGAGCCCAGACATCTCCTCCTGGGAACGAGGCCCCGGAGCAGGAGCCCAGAGCAGCCAGCCCAGGAGCACAGCCCTGGCAAGGGCACACTCAGTGCCAGCCTTTCATTAGTTCCAGTGCCAGCCTTTCATTAGTTTCAGAGCTTGCTCAGGGGATAGATAAGGCACAGTAAGGGCAGCACAGCTGAGTTGTGACATGCTGAGGAAAGAGAAGAGCCGGGAAGCACAATGCCTCTCTGCCCAAAGACACAGCTCATCACAGGAGGAGGAGGAGGACACAGCAGTGCCGGTTCTGGAATTACACTCAGCCTCCTCTCCAGATGCAGAGGTGAAGAGCAGGTGGGGCACTTTGGAGAGCCAGAGCTGCCTCTGCCACTCAAAAGCAGGCAGTGCCTCTGGAGTGAGGCTGCTCAAGCCACAGCACTCACACAGGTCACCGGCAAGGTAAGTGATCTGGAGACCAGCAGGGACAACGTGTCCATTGTGTGAAAAGTAATTCATAAGAACAGGAGCCATTTCCTGTCATACAAATTGTATGAGAAAGAGGCAGGGGGGGAAATCCCAAGCACAAGAGAAAACCAGAGACTTGGGAAGGCTGTGCCTTTCTGTCTCTTCTGAAGTCTTTGCTACTACAGGAGACACTGTCCTGCACCACCTGGGACAAGCATGCAAGTTGACAGGTAAAACAGACACAGATGGACAGGCCCAAGCATGGAAAACTGCCCTGGAGTGATCCCAGTCTGTCACTAGGATGTGATATGAGTAAGGGCCACAGACACAGATGGGCATCATTTCAAAGCAGGGCTTTCTCCCTCCCACGGACCAAAACAGTGACACAGGCTTCCTCCTGCTAACAAAAATCTTCCATCATCTGTGTGATTCACAACTTTCATAACTCTGAAATACTGTGGCCTGGACCCTGCATAATCAAAGAGATGGGAAGAAATTAGAAAAAGCTTATTAAAATACCTTGTTTCATAAGATAAGGGGATCCTCACAAAATAAAATTTAAGAAAAACAAAGCACTCAATTACGGGAAAAATGGCTCAATAACTCAGTAAAAACTGTTTAACTCTGAAGAAACATCTTTTGTCCATCAGGGAGGCTGAGCATCACCAGAACTTGATTAAACCTTGAACTTCCATATAGTAGTCAAGGAATTGCCTGACAAGGTCAATAAAGCAACCACAGCCACCAGGGCAAGGTGTCCAACAGCGGCCCAACCACAATCACTCAAGAGCAGAATGCAGAACTGAAACCATCCCGAAAGTTTCAGCTAACTCCATCAGCTACTAGTTTATTAATTAGCTCTTGTTTACTATTCATTATAAAAGTTACTCCTTCTGATGTAATTATTGTATCATTACCAATGACCAACATAAAACATTTAACTGAGTGGTGAGTGTGTTGCCTTAGGTGTGAGGATTGCCCACTGGAATCCCAAAGGAGCAGAGATGACTATTTGAGAGGCATCTCGAGCACACAGAGCTAAAAATCACTCAATCTGTTTAGCCATCCCCTTCCCTTTACATATCTGAGGTCAAAATTGGTCTTGCAGCCCTAGCACAGAGCGGGAGATCCCTGTGCTGCCTTTCTGCCCTCCTTCCCAGCTCCTTCACCTCACACAGCTGCCTGACCTCTTCCCTGCTCTCTGCCCGATTCCCACCCGCACGTGGCTCCTGAGCTGATCAAATGCAGATATCCTGCACTCCACAACGAGCAACCCTCTCACTGGCTGGGGAAGGACACAAACCCACAGGGGCTCCTTACACGGGTGCTGCCAAAGGCTGTGTCTCACTGGAGAGGCAGATCTCACTTCCTCTGCTTCAGTTCACGTCTGGTTAAACACAAAGCCCTGCCCACTGAGTGACCCTGGCTGCTCTGTCCAACAGCCTCAGCTTCGCTCACCCCTCTGCCAGTATTTGTCCCCTGCAGAAGTTTTATCTGCAGCCATTTGATACTTGCTGCTCTAACAGATGCAAACACCGGGTAACGTTTGACCTACAACTTGATGTGGGCAGAACAATTCTGGGGAGTCCTCCCTTGATAGCTGCTTTTGTCATCTGCTACTTAGCTACACTACCCTTCATCCCACACATTGCTCATCCACACTTCACTGGGATATTCCTTTCAACACTGTGTGTCATGAAATCAAATGTTTTCTAAAAATCCATTATATCTAGGGTAGCTACATTTAATCAACTAAACTTCTAATTACTACGAATAAAACTGGTTTTCAAGAGCCCTGTCACAGAGCACCTTCTGCACACCTATCCTTTAATTATCTACCAAGAGAATCGAGTTCCTATTGTTCTGACCAGGTCTGATGTCAGGCCCACCAGCCCATTATTAGGTGTACCCTCACTCTTCTCTTTTTGAACTCCTGGTATGAGCCCACAGATTTGGCATTTCTGACTCACATGCACTCGGTTAACATTTTGAGACTCCTGGGAGCAAATTAACGTGACTTTCATGGGAGGGAAGTTCCACTTCCTGTCCTGCCCATTCAGAAGCTTTAGAGGACTCAAGGAATGTTGCTTCTGGAGAAGTTTGGGGTGAAAGAAATGGAACTGGCAGGAGTCTCCAGCGCTGCAAACAGAGGCTCATCTCCCTTGCCCTCCCACAAGCCACATTTCCCAGGCATTCTGGCCCAGCTACTCACCGGGCAGGTAGGCAACACCACTCCTGAGCACTTCTGGGTTCACATCCTTGACTATGGTAGGTGCAAACTGGCCACCCCAGGCAGTTCCAGAAGTCGGGGATGTCGGGGGAGTAATTGGTGCCAAAGTTTCCTCCGGGGCACTGACTTTACTCACTGGTTTCAACACATCTGTGCCAGCTGCTCCTTTTCTCAGCTCTGTCCCTTCTGACACCATCCCTGTAAGACAAGCAGCAAACAGAAGCTCAAGCAGATTTCCACCCAGAAGGTCCCAGGAAAGCACGAGATGTGGGAGGGATGTGCCCCCAGCACTCCGCAGCTCCTTCAGTCCTCGTGCCAGCAACTCATGCACGTTGCAAAACTGGTTATAACATCAGTGCTGCAGTAATTCCAACAAAATAAACCGATTTGTTGTGAAGTTTGCAAAGCACAAAAGCTCGATTCAGATCGGGATTACTGGAGTCAAAGCCATTTTTAAAGGTAACATATCAAGCAGCACATGTCTGCTCACAGCCTGGAAGTCTGGCACGGTGCAAGTTGCCTGGCTGGGCTCCAGCAGCCCGAGCCTGCTGAAGTGATAAACCAGCTTCTGACAGGGAGGGCAACTCCATCACAGCAGAATTACTCCCACAACAGCACTTTCAGATTAGTTCCTGAAAATATGAAGTCAACTTGAGGCTGACAAATCAGCTGGAAATCAGCCAAAGAGACCTGGTTCTGCTCGTCCGGACTTTTTTAATGAACAGTTAATGTGAAAGTCACAAACCCATTTTAAAGCACTGAAGAACAGGATGATTACACCAATCAGCTCCTGCTCTAGAACTACAGAGAATGCTTCCTTTGTCTGACACCTCAGCTCTCAAGTACAAGTTATCAGCATAGGTTAATTCTAAAATTAAATATTCTTGCTATTGCATGGAAACCAAGGCTGGTTTTATCACGCTTTAATTTTCAGGCAAAAATTATCTGGACAGAAGAAAAAAGTATCTACCCTCTGTGTAAGAAGCATTATTCCCCATTTCTGAACACCACAAGAATGAGAAGCCAACAGTATGCCTTCAATAATGCATCTTTAGCATCCAAAGTACCCAGCTTGGCTATCCCAGTGTTCGCAGAAAGCTGTAATAAAGAAAAGGCTACACTGCACTGATACTTCAGCCATCTACCAACACAAATATCCACCTTTCTTCAGCAAAATAAGAGTGGAGTATTTATTTGCTTGCTATGAAGTCAGACATTTTAATTGCTATTTAAAATTGACTTCAACCATCCTGCCTTCCTGCTGCATCAACAATGCTGCCACTTGACTCAGTTTATTTACTAACAGATTCCAATACTTCATTAAAGAGCAGGACCAGGAACAAAGCAGTCCTTGAAGTGGCTTTCAATACAAGTTTTAGCAGTGAAGGAGATTTACAGGTTGAGGCTTAGCCTGAACTGCTTTCAA